TATGTATCTCTCTCTATGTATCTCTCTCTCTCTCTTTCTCTCTCTATGTATCTCTCTCTCTCTCTCTCTATGTATCTCTCTCTCTTTCTCTCTCTCTCTCTCGGTCTTCTCACCTTGTCCACATGGATGTAGTAGTAGTGGTCGGGTGAGTATATGACCCTCAGGAGCCTGATGACCTGCCGTATAGCTCGACCGTTGACGGTGAGCACGAAGACGATCTTCACCTTGGGCACAGACTTGTCTAGTGGGGCTCGAGCCAAGGGGGCGTCTTGGCGAACCGCGCCTGAAACATAGAGGGTGGTTTAGTTTAGTTTTAGTAAGAGTTTTACGGCACTTGCAACACAATACGGTCATATAAGTGCCGAAGATTAGAGGTGTTACAAGAGAGTAACAAAGACAAAAAGGAGGGGAGATAATGACAATAGATGTTTGAAAGGAAAGAAGAAGCAAACCACACCACAGCACCCGGTAACTACCCACAATGTAACTGTAATTTGACTGTTAGTGTTAGTACTTTCTGCTCTCGTTGACTCAAGAGAGTAACAAACACAAACTTAGAAGGAGGGGAGAAGAGGACAACAGATGTTTAGTTTTAGTCAGACTTTTACGGCACTTGCAACACAATATGGTCATAAAAGTGCTGAAGGTTAGAGGTGTTACAAGAGAGTAACAGACACAAAAAAGTAGGAGTGGAGAAAAAGACGATAGATGTTTGATAGAAAAGAAGGAGCAAACCACATCAGAGCACCCGCCAACCACCCGCACCTGGAACATAGAGGGTGGGGGATTTTACTTGAGGAGGGGAGGGACTGAGGGAGGTTTTTCTATTTGAGGAAGGGTGGTTGGAGTTAGGGAGGGTAGGGTAGGGAGTGGGGTAGGGTAGGGTAGGGAGGGGTAGGAAGGGAGAGAGAGAGAGAGAGAGAGAGAGAGAGAGAGAGAGAGAGAGAGAGAGAGAGGGGGGGCGGGGGAGAGTGATTTTTTTACTTGGGGGAGGGAGAGGATTTTCTATTTGAGAGTGGGTGGAGGTAGGGAGGGTGGGGGGTTTAATTGAGGGAGGGAGGGAAACCGAAAGATTGAGAGAGAGCGGGCGAGAGAGAACACACGAGAGAGAACGAGATGCGAGAGAGAGCGACAGAGAGCGAAAGAGAGCGAGAGAGAGAAAGCGAGAAAAATGGGCTGGGGGAACCCTTCAGCGCACACAGAGAGAGAGAGAGAGAGAGAGAGAGAGAGAGGGGGAAGAGAGACAGAGG